ATTAGAGCACAGCTGATCTCTCATTTGATGGCATCTTCCCGCGTTTTAAAGATAGCTCTCCTGTCACTACTTACCAATTTTCGTCATGTTTGCGGGTAGAATTTTGAAGAGGGTAAAATTGGATATTTTGCAAATTTCGATCAAAATACTGACTGAAGAAATTTTCAGTAAATAATATTGTATGTTTACTAAAAATGCATAATTATTTTATTCCACCCTGTTACATTTTTATTTACTTTAAAAAAAATTAAATTAATTTAAATATTTTTTTTAAAACAGGGCGAATGCGCTAGTAAATTTAAAATATAACTAGTTTTTTTAGTATTTCGTAATTTTTGGTCGGGAACTTTTATGTCATCATCCGGCAACACTATATAAAACACATGAAGCAATAAAAGCAGCTCGAAGATCAACCATATTTGTTTTATGAGTTCGATTGTCGCGACCATATCATGCCTATGCATTGCGAAGAATTGTTATAGTTATTATACCTTATGTACTTAATCGACAAGGGATTTGTATGTACACAAACCAAACGTAAGTACGTATCTCCCAACTGTTTTATTCTGTTTAATTAAAATAAAGTTTGTTTACCTATATTGTAAACATTGCTTCCGTGTGTTTATAAGCCTTATAACAACACAAAACAACGTTTATAAATACTTTGCATTTTGCTTTCTTTTGCAATAACCAAATACAACATCTCTGAATAATTCCGGATATTTATTTTAATCGCTATTGGTACCTACCATTTCTCTGATAAAAGTCTTATTAAGTCTTATTAACTCTTCCAGAAGACTCCCAAATCTTGATATTAGTCTGACTTACTAAGACTTATTCAGACTTTTTCGGACTTAATAAGTCTTATTCTGACTTTTCCCGACTTAATAAGACTTATTCAAACTTTTTAAGAGAAAGTAAGACTTTCAACACTCTTATTAAAACTTTCTCAGAAAAAATAATAAACCCTCATTACAATTACATGTAATCTACCGTGACACCATCAAATATGGCAACATTGTTTAATTTGTTGTTATTTTGTAATATATTATATTATAATGTTTACGTTGTAATTTTTGGTCATCATGTTTTTATCAAGTTTATTTTTTTGATGTTCATATGGTAGGTAACGTATCCGATTTACCAGTCAACAAAATCAATTCGTCAGTAATATATATACGATCTCAATCTAATTAATTCCGATTCTTAGTATCGCGTGAGCATTATCTTTTTTTAAACCCTTCCAAGTACAAAATAATATTATTTGGGAATAAGTCAGCCATTACCGAAATAGAACAAGATTTCTTTATATACATATAGATAACACACCAATACGCGTCGCACAGAGTGGTATTTTGGCTAAAAACCTGGCCATAAATCAAAATTGTGAACTTTTACGTATAGAGTTTTAGTTCGTTTCTAGGAACAGATAAATATATATAACATTATGTCGTGTACTCCTTTTCTTTAATAACTAAACGAGTCACAAGTACGTGGGGTTGAAACTTGACATTTATTCTATACGAACATCTGTGTTCGTAGCATCCATTGGAAAACATTTTTTTGTGTTGGAAGTGATTTTTCTGGTAAAACTTCTGATGGATATTGTGATTTTATCGATTTAAAAACATGATAAAACGATTTATCCCAGTAAGCACAAGCCGCGTGCGGCCCGATACACGTATTTCTTCCGGCGTGTTTACTCGGCCGAGTGCCGGCCACAGCCGCCCGGCCATTCAAAAAAAGCCTACCGACGTCCTGGAAAGGTATATTCTATAAGTTCAGTCCTGAAATTATCTGAATGGCAAGATACTTTTTTAACACACTAGCTAGATTTTATTCGGATGGAGGTGGGGACTCCAAACAATTAATTTTCAGCTATGCCATCACGGACGCACACTTCCAACTAAATATTGCAACCAATCGCTATTTATAGTTAGCTCGCGTGCGTAAGCAGCCGTGAGATGCATCGCTTATGCCGCGGCAGGCAGTATTCCAGCCGTAAGCAGGCCGGCTAGGGCAAGCCGAAGGTTTGTAGGCCTATCAGGATGAGATTTGTTAAAGAAAATAAAGACATCACTAATGGATTACGTGGGCAATCAGGCCAGTAATCTTCAAGCGACAAATGTAAAGGAGAATATTCATTTAAAGCACATATTACTGCCAACAATGTAAATGGTAAAGTGTGCAATGCTGTTACTAACACTTCGTCGACAATGCGCTGCTATATTTGCGAAAAAAATATCAAAAAGCTTTAATGACTTGACAACGGTAAGCACAGAGAAACCAGAGACATTCAAATTTGGCCTGTCAATACTGCACGCCAGAATTAGGTTTTTTGAATTTACCTAATACATCTGTCATATAAAATAAAAGTACATAGAAGTCGTGTTACATTAAAAAGTGAAAAAGAAAAAAATCCAAACTGCTAAAGAAAACTCCAAAAATTTCGCGAGAAGATGGGATTGCTGGTGGACATACCGATAGATTAGAACTTCAGACATTATACTATTATCACCAGACCTCAACATAAATGTAAGAAACAAACATTGCATTACTCCCCCTGCCCACAGAACATCACTGTATGAAAGATCTTTCACATTTAATATTGCAAAAACGTACAACAAATTGCCAAACAATATAAAATCCCTAAAAATGTTTTTATTTAAAAAGCAAGTGTATTCGATACTTTTTAGTGTTAAGTAAGTTATAATTATTCTTTATTTTTTTTAAATTGAATACAATCTATATCTTGGCTTAAGTAGATCGTTTAGGTATTTCTTTATTATTATTATTATTTATTCTATTATATTTTTCTTGGGTCAATTTAATTTAACTAGATAGGCATAAAATAAAATAATCTTAATTATTGTGTTGTCAAGGTTTGTGCTATAAACCGAGGGGTCGAATAATTATATCTTCTTGAGAACAATCTTGTGTTTTTTCATAATATTTAAGATTACACTCATATAAAACTAGAATTTTCTGTGTATATGAAGAAAAAAAATTAAATTTATTATTATTATTGTTTCTGTAATCGAAATTATTTTTATTTATAGTGCACACAATATTGTGGACAAATTTAGAGTAACTGGATTGGTTAAAAATAAAAAAAGATCAAACTTGCATACTGATAGAGAATGCTTGAATGAGGTAAACATTTTTTTAAATTTTGTATTCATTTTTTAAAAGCGTAGAGACTCTCAAATTTAAGACATACAAGATAAATTGAAAAATTGTAGGTACCTACTCGGACAGTTTGCAATTTCCTCTTCTCTCTCACTTCGGCAAGCATCTAGACTCTAGACATCTAGATTCTAGAGAAACATGCCTTTCGAAAAATTCTATTGGGAGAGTATTAAAAAAACAAAAAGTTCACCCTAATAAAATAAATACTTTACAAGCGTTCGGTGATGATGATCCAGATCAAATAATCGAGCTTTGTGAAATTATGACGGCGAGATTAAATGAATATCTTACAATCAATAAAAAATATTTGTTTCAGCGATAAATGCAATTTTTTTCCTAAATGGACAGGTCAGTAAGCAAAATTGTAGGTACTACAGTGATGAAAATATTCACATTTTTGTAGAGAAGGATATTCAGCTCCCTCGAAAATGAAATCTTTGCGCCGGCATTTTGTGAAATAAAACTGTTGGCTCAATTTTTATTAACGGAAGTCTCACTTAAATTTACTATAGGATATTATTGATGTATTATTACCACAAAAACTCGAATATTATGCATTGCCAGCCAGAAATTGACTTAACGTTTTCCTGGCAAATGGATTGGCCGAAGAGGACCGTTAGAGTGCCCCAGAATATCACTTGATTTAACCCCATTGTACTTATTTATAGAGATACATTAACTCGTTAGTTTATCAGACTCCACCTGAGTCGTTACAAGATCTAGGACATTAAATAGTTGAAGCATGCCGGAACATCTCACCAGAAACTTTTGAAAAAGTACGTCAAGAATTTTATAATCTATAATCTATTGTCTTCAAAATAATGGAGAACATTTTGAACATTTAATTAATTATTATGTAAAATATTTTACATCCCAATAAATATTAATTAATTGCACCCCTTTATATTCGTTTTTTTTTTTATGAAAATAAGGAAAACATATTTTTTTTGCAGAATTATTTAAAGAATTTTTTGAACAAGGTATCACATGACCTATAGAGCCATTAAAAATTTTGAGGTTAGGGTGGGCCCCCACTGGGGTAGATCGAGGGGAGCTGAAAATTGCCCTTTTTTGGTTCCCCCTTCAAAACCCTTGAGACTCGGTTTTCAAATTTTGTTTATCGATAATAAATTTAAAGATATAGGCCAGTGACAGTCGGAACACACTGCCTATTTGTAACCAGAATTATTTAAAGAATTTTTTGAACAAGGTATCACATGACCTATAGTGCCATTGAAAATTTGGAGGTTAGGGTGGCTACCCCCACTGGGGTAGATCGAGGTGAATTGAAAATTGCCCTTTTTTGGTTTCCCCTTCAAAACCCTTGAGACTCGGTTTTCAAATTTTGTTTATCGAAAATCCTTTTAAAGATATAGGCCAGTGACAGTTGGGACTCACTGCCTATTTGTAACCAGATCCAATTTTTAATACAAGAAAAAAAAACGATACATTTAAAAATCGGATTTAAAATCGAAACAGGCTCATGTTTCAATTTTTGTCCATAATGTACATATGTTATATTACTATTATTATAAATAAACTGCCGGCAAAATAGGAAATAATGGATTCCATTAAAGGGGATTTTAAAATTATAATCGAATAAATGTTTTTGTTTAATATAATACCTGTTTGTTTTGCGAGCGTATATACTCAAACATTAACATTTTGATGTACATTTAGTACAAATTAGCACCTGACCCTTTCGCGCTGTTTAATTAAATAAATTAGTGGATAAAAAAATTTAAAATATTGGATTTACATAATATTATAATAACAAAATAAAGATATACATTTAAATTTATGAAACTTACTTATAAACCAAGGCAGCAGCAAAATGATTTTTTATGTAGGCATCTAAGACAGGTTTAAAATGTTGATATTTTGAACCATCTAATAAGTTAAAAATAGATACCAAAACATGAAATACCAAACCACTATATGCAGTAGAGTTTCCATCCTCTGTAGAAAATAGAGCAAATAAAGCATCAAGCACGTCCTGTAAAAATTTAACAAGCTCTTCATCTCCTAATCTTAACACTCGTTGAAGTGATTCTTGTATTCTTTCCGGATGGGATTTCCACCGTAATAATGCCAATAAATCAACTAAAACATAAAATTAAACTGTGTTCGATTTTGTTATAAATTATATCTTTACAGTATAGTACAAAGCTTTGGCGTTGTAAACAATACTGCTGAGCTTATTCAATTTTTTTAACTTTATTTTGTTCATTATTTTTGTCAAATTTTTTGCTATTAATTTATAAAATGAATATAAATATTTACCATTTTGAGTAAGTTTGGTAGAACAAAGTAATGTCTTAACAAATATTACTTCTTTGTGACTTCTAGAAAATTGTCCGCTTATTTCGTGATTTCCTTCCATATCTTTGGCATTTGTCGGTAAAGATAAATAACCACAATTACTTAATTTTTGAGTATCCTCACACTTATAAATATATAATTCATGATATGCATCCTGAACTGCAGCACCTTCTTTATCCATAAGTCTCATAAACGAAAAACCAAACAGTTTTTTATCATTTTTTTCACGAGCTAAAAATGTATTGAATTTAATTATTGTTCTCTACTTCTTAATTTACTTTCAGTAAAATATGTACGTACTTGAACAATGCCTATATTCAAATCGAACATGAGCCCCTGCAAATTTATCAGTTGGAAGAGATAATCTTATAGTCTCTAACCATACTGGAGAATTATGATGATAAATTATCATTGAGTTGTATTCTGAACCTCCATCTAAACTGGAAGCTCCCCATAAACAATTCTAAAATGTATTTTACAAAAAATAGTTTTATAGGAGTTGTGTAAAGGTCAGAAATGATGAAAAGTAAAAAGTAATAAATATTTTATTGTATTACTTCTATACTTTTTTAATTTAGAAGTGGGTCTTGGTAGTATTAATTTTTTTTAATATTAGAAGGGTCATAAAAAATTACCGCTGTACCGATAAATGATGGGGTGTTAGGTTGAGGGTAGGTCTCTTAAGTATGTAAGAAAACCATAAGCGGCCAAGAAGTAGGTATTTGGTTTCCTTGGAGCATAAAGATGCAGTCTATCTACATCGTTTTGACTAAGTGATTAAACGTAGGGACTAAAAGCGACGATTACTCGTTTTGACATGGTCTATATTAGAGACGATTAGTGGAAGCAAATCCTTTGTTTGGTTTAGTTAATTTTAAATTAACGTACAAAGTTATGATGCAATGTTGCCATTGTCTTACTAATTAAAGAAGAGGGGGATGAAAAAGATGCTGTTTAAAAATAAACAACAAATCTCGAGGAAACATATACAGCATGTTTGTAAATGGAAAAGTGAGGAATGTTTTAGTAGTGTAATTAAAATTGTATCCTCACCGTTTGTTGCTTTAAAAGCAACTCGACTATCAAACGAGCCGTATTGCTGCGATTTGTCATGACTTATCGCTGAAGATATACCAAACAAATTCATATGCCTATAAAGCGATTAGTCGCTGCGTTTACTCGCTTAGCTAAATAGTTAAATAGTAAGTTAGCTCTGAGACATTTTTGCCTAGCGTTAAAGCTCATTCACATCCACTTAATACGCGTAACTTAACTTAACGTACGTGATAGACGTAAGTTGAAATACATTGAAACCAATGCAGCTGTTTACATTCGTAGAAAACTTATCACACGTAACTTAAAGTATCCAACTTAAGGGTATACGTTTCTTACGTGAGCCAATCACATGCCCAGCATTGTTTCACTTTTATAGATAGATAGGCAACCCAGTCTACATCCATGACTACAATGTGCGTGCTTGTATATTGCGTTTTTTGCGTGTATTAAGTTAATGCAGGCTGAAGGACCCCGGTCGATGGCCTTTTGTATATTTTGTATTATATGTCCTGTATTGTACTGAATATGCAATAAAAACTTTATTTATTTATTTATTTAAGTTAATGTAAACAGACAACTTAACAGACGTAGGTTTCTTAAGTTAAGTTAAGTTACGCATATTAAGTGGATGTGAATGAGCTTTTAGGAGGGCGAGAAAGTGTCGAAAATTAGCGCCAAAATCAGTGCCCTAGAACAAAATAGGTATTTGTGTATTAAGAGCGCAAAGTGATTTATTGTCGCTCTGAGAGCGGCAATGTCACTTTGCACTCGAATTACACACAGGATTTTTTCTACAACCGGTGTTTTTATAAAAATGTTTGGTAATAATTAATAATTGTTAAACCCGGGTAAGACCATTGTGGTCAAAATTAGTCTTGTTTAGATTATACCAAATATTATATAATGTTTGATATATTTACCTTAACGATATTTTTTTCACTATCAATTATGACAATAGTAACTTCAATATTTTTACTGGTTGATTTACCACCCCTTTCAAAGTCTCCTTTATCTAATATAATATATAAGTCATTTCTTACATCCCCAGGCATAATTACATCTGGAAAACCTAATTTTTTTGTAAATCGTCCATTTTTAAATAGAATTGGATTTTCTTCGCGAAGGGTTGACAAATTTCCATGAAATATTTTTAAAGATATCATTATACCATAGTTTATTGGGCCCGATAAAGCATTGTATTTTCCAGTTTGTTTTATGATAAATTCATGAAGTTGAAAAAAATCTTTTTCTTCACACTGATATACCTATAATAAAAGGTTATAATTAATAAATACATTTATACATAAGTAAGCGTGCCGTTCGAAATTTCTCGGCCTGAAGCATATATGCCCTGCTTAAAATACCCCATAGAGACCCTGTTCAAACCGATCCCATGGGGAAAAATCGTCTAAAGACGATCGTCTTTAGACGCGAATTCGTCCAATCGTCTTTCAAACGATCGTCTTTCAAACGATCGACTTTGAAACGATTCAATCGGTTGCGTAGGTTAGGCGGTCGGCTGTACAGACGAAATATATATTTGAAATTCTTCTCTATTATAATAAAGAATTTCAAATATACTTTGGAATATTTGGAATTGTCTATTATTCGAATATTTTCTCATCAGTTAAGTTATAACTTAAAATTTTAATTAAAACGATCGTCTTTTTTCGACTATTATTTTAGACGATCGCCTTTTGTATCGTTTATCACTTTAAACGATCGTCTTTAGGGTCGGCTATTATTTTAGACAATTAAAGACGATCGTTTAAATAATTAAACGATTTCGTTTGAAAGTAGACGATCGTCTTCAGACGATCGTCTTTTTTACAAAAGATCGTTTAAAAAATTAAGCGATATTGTTTAAAAATAGACGATCTTCTTCAGGCGATCGTCTTTTTTTTAAACGATTTTTGTATCGGAATGTATGGTGTTTCTATAGGGTGTATCGGTATGTATAGGACCCATAGTTGGGATTTATGGTTGTTCTATAGGGATATCCACCCTTGATTTATTTGCTATTGGTTTCAATGGGGAAAATACACATAAATGTAGAAATTAGTTTTTCCCCCATGGGACCCCATAGGTTTTAATAAAATTTTGTCAAATGTTTTATGGTTGTTCTATAGGGATATCCCTATATATCCTTCATTGAGTTATTTGCTATCGGTCTCTATAGGGAAAATGTAAAAGTTATGGTGTGCCTATAGGTAATTTTCTATAAATTTTCCATCGGGTCGTATCCGGAAAAAAACCATGGACAAATGCACATATTGAATCCGGTAGCGCCCGATAGATTATTTTTTATAGGTCTCTATGGGGTATTTTAAGCAGGGTGTCGTTTGTGTGAACATAATGCTAGTATATATTTAGTAAAAACCTTTGGGTGGATTTCTGCAAAGATTCAGACAGATCTACAGTGCTTGCAAATGCAAGTCCGACCGCACTGGAAAGGACGGCTGTTCAATACCCGCGTGAAAAGGATAGAACGCCAAATAGAATTTGATTGGCCAGAGCCCCGGATGCGTGCGAATTGTAAGCGAGGTCAACTCTGGCTGCATTTAGACTAAATGATTTAGTGTTAAGCAAACTGCGTTAGAGTGGAGATGCACATTTTAATTTTCTTTTTAAATATTTTATACCCGAATCCTAAAAATAAATTTTTTTGATTTTTTTCCTTGAGAACTAGGGCAACAACAAAAATGGTATTCTTAATAAAAAAGATTTCTCAAATAAAAATAACTAAAAATAAAAATAAAACTCTAAATAAAAATATAGACCAGTGCAGAATCCTTTAAAAATGGTAAAAAGAGAAAAAAAATAACAGTAGGATGAAACCCATTGGAAAAGGAGGGGAATATAATAAAAATTAAAGGAAAAATAAATTACGGGCGATCTGAGTTCGGGAAGTGGGAGGGGGGGGTTTTAAGGGTAAAAAATGGTTTATCTCGATTTCCGGCAAAACTACAAGTCCTATGGAAAAAAGTTAAATGTCAAAGTTGTAGGTAATAAAAAGATCTACAACTTTTGTATTTACAATTTTTTCACATAACCTCAAAATTTATGTGAAAAATTCAAAAAACCAAGTTTTTAGTTTTTTATTTTTATCTTTTAAAAAAAAAATTTTTTTCATGAAATTTGGTGAAAACTTACCTTTTTATGTCCCAAATACACTGTAATTTATTTGATTTGAAATATTTATTATTTCGCCTTATTTTGACTTAATATCAAAAAAGCACCCTAATTTTCAATCGAAAATTCTCGCGTCAAAATATCAGCTTTTTTCAAAAAGTCGGTGTGCTTTTTGTTCGATGAACTCTCTACTTTCTGATGGTGTAAAAAATATATACATTACTATGGTAAATGTTCTCAGAAAATACAAAAAATATTATAATGAATAACGTAATCAGAATGAAGTATCTAAATTCAATAGTATGATTTACATGTATTTTTATATTTTATGAGATTTTCTGACATAAATGTTATTAGAATTTATTAAATAAACTTTTTAACTAAAAAAAATTACAACAATCACATTTTTTTGATGAAATTGTACATAATGATTAAAATAAATTTTCGAATTCGAGTTTTTTTCGTTATTCATTATAATATTTTTTGCATTTTCTGAGAACATTTACCATAGTAATGTATATTTTTTTACACCATCAGAAAGTAGAGATTTCAACAAACAAAAAGCACACCGACTTTTTGAAAAAAGCTGATATTTTGACGCGAGAATTTTCGATTGAAAATTAGGGTGCTTTTTTGATATTAACTACGGTTTCGCGAAAGGATCGAACGGTCGATTTGCAAGGGTTCAAGAAATCGATTCAAACTTTTTTACCATATTTCTACATGTAAATGCAGTACTTTTTTCAAAAAAAAAATCTCCTCCATTGACAAATTTGTTTTTATATTTATTTTTTTCTTCATTGTGTTAAAAATGAAGAAATTTTATTTTTTTCAAATAACTTTTTTATTTTAAAACGTATCGATTTGAAATTTGGACAAAATGTAGATCTTACTAATGACAATTCTTCCATTTAAAAATTTTGTTTAGATTGTAACGTACAGGGGGCGCTGGTGATAATTTAATTTAAAATTTAACAATTTTTAAAGGGTAAATAATCGAAGAAGCAACATTGTTTTATAAATTTGAGTATAACACGTTAAAGTATTGATATTTCACTATTATTTGATATATTAACTTTTTTATGCAAATGATGTTTCTGTGGCCAGGATCAGTTTTTAATTAGCAGTAGCAGTATTCATAAATGTTTAGTTTGGTACATTTTGTCATTTTTATACTAATATTGTTGTATCTTTTATTAATAATTAAGTATAGCATAACATATAAATGAGTTTAATATACAGGGTGTTTCACGTAAGTAATCCGTTAGAAGATTCTGGGGAATCGCGAAAGTCATCGGTTTAAAATTTTAATAGCGTAAATTATTCGATTTAGACTTTAGTGTGCCACTAATATACGTAATTATTTTATATACAGGGTGTTCCACATTCGTGGTCCATTATAAGTTTCTAGGGAACGGGAAAAAAATCTATTTGAAATTTTGAAAGAGTTTATAATCCATTTAAGTCTATTTTTCTAAATTAAACAGTAAACCTCATTCATTTTTACATTTTTTATTTCTACATAAAATTCTTAATAAAATGGCTATACGATATCCTATACCCAAAGTCAATATTTCTCGAGTTACTAATTTTTCAATCAAATATTTTAATTAATTTTAAACAGGTTTGTTGATACAAAATAGTATTAAAAATATTAGAAATTGTTAAATGTCTCTGAAATTTTAACTTTGAGAAACAGTTATTATAATACCAATCGAAAGATTTTTTAATTTTTTTTTAAACATACAGGGTTTTACATTTATAATAAAAACACGTTATTATTGTTTGAACTTTGCCTAATTTCAAGTGTTTTTTCTTAAGCTATTTGTTGAAAAACCTTTAAAAAATTATTTAAACAATGTTTTAATATTCTAAATTCTAACCCCATGTCAGCAAACCTAATAACAAAAAAATTACATGCTATTTTTGATTAACGTGCATTTAGCAAAATTTTAACAAAAAAAAAATTATATCTTGAAAACTAATAATAATTGTATAGTCTATATCAAATTGTATATATACATTAATAGCATATATGCTATTAAAATATCAAATCTATATCGTTTGCGTTTCTTCAGAAACACCCTGTATGGCATTATAATAAATATAAAAAAACGCAAAATAACCAATTACAAAAAAGCAAAAACCAACTTAATAAAAAATATACAATAAATAGCCAATTGCAACATAAAAAATAAAGTCTTTATTCTAATTTATTTATTGGGTAAATATTACTTTCCTCAGTTTGGAATGAAAATTAAAGCTTGCTTATCGAGTAAAAAATAAATTGAAGCTTGGTTGTGCAGCAAAAAATAAAATTAAAGTAGATATAAGTAGGTTATTATGTCTAACTTGCTGACACTGTCTATAATTATTATTTAGTTTATTAATTTAAAAAAAAATTAATGTTTTGAATTTATAGTACACTTATAAATTGAAAGTCATTTGCAACTTATAAACTGAACTGTCAAATTATATTTCATGCTACAATTGTAGGTTACCATAGAGAAAAGTCTACGATGCATACTATGATCAAAATTAGTAAAGTTGAAAAAATTTAAAATTTATAAATAAAAGTAATTTTAGCTCCATCTATGGCGACTTTTTAAAATAAATATGTAAGAATTGTATGTTATATATAATATATTATATGTAATATATAATGTATAATATGTAATATACAATACATAATCTTATAAAACTAGATAAAAGAATATATACTTTGTAAAACACGTTAGTATTATGCCCTTTGAAGGCCCAACTTAAAAATGACGTATGTCGTAGAAACATAATTTGCATATAAAAGTTTATATATCAAATAATAGTTAATTATCAGTACTTTAACGTGATATACTCAAAATTATAAAATAACGTTGCTTCTTCGACTTTTTAACCCTTAAATAATGGTAAAATTTTAAATTAAATTGTCCCCAGCGCCCCCTGTATGGTAAAATCTAAAAAAAATTATACGTGGATTTATTGCCACTAATACGGTCTACATTTTATCTTAATTTCAAATCGATACGTTTTTAAATAAAAATGTTATTACAAAATATCGAAATTTATCTATTTTTAACACAGTAGAGTGACTTAAGGCCTAAAACCCACGGTGGTCAATGGATAAAATTTTTTT